TGTCCCCTGCCTGTCCATACATATTATTTAGTAAGGTTAGATAAATATATTTACTGATTCATTTCTAATAAACATCAGTAACATACCTCCACCTCGCCCACTCCCAGGTTGTGTCCCTTGGCCAGAGGACGTGCTGTGTCCCCTGCCTGTCCATACATATTATTTAGTAAGGTTAGATAAATATATTTACTGATTCATTTCTAATAAACATCAGTAACATACCTCCACCTCCCCCACTCCCAGGTTGTGTCCCACGTTCCGTAGAAGTGTGGTCCCCCCTAACTGTCACTTTACCTAAATGGAGAAACAATATGTGCAGAGTTCGAATGAATTGATGTAAGGTCTGCTTTTATTTACTGCTGGTTTGGTTTCAAAGAACAACGCCCTGCAGCATCCTATTTAAGATTGAACGTGGCTGCGTCACAAACTCAAAAGCATGTATTCACACCCTTTATGCAGCGCAGATATAGTTTCTTTCCTTTCTTCATTTAAAAGCCATTTCTAATGCTTCACCTTCACCCCTGTACCTGCTCATGTGTAGATTTTCTCTGAGCTTCAGTTTGACTCATCACACTCAGATGGATGTTGTACACTTCTCATGAAATGATCAGGTCAAAATCTCTCTATCCAATAAGATCTCAGTTACCACTGACAAATGAAACCATCATTGCAGACATGTTTCCTTTACTTCTCCCAGAATCCTTTGCTTCACAAGGTTCAGCAGATCACTCACCAACTTCACTTGTTACCTCGCAAATGAATATAGATGTGCCCTTGATCTTCTCTGCATATTGTCTACTTACTGCAGGTTGGGTATTCAGTCCAGGTTCCAGCCAAGCAAACAATTGGATTTTTGTCTGATCCCTCCATTCTATATCCATCTTTACATTCGTAGTGCACTTTTGAATCTTCGGGAAACAGCTCCAGGTATCCCTGGTGAACAATTACAGCATGTGGGACTTTGGGGGGCATGCTGCACGTTTTGATGCTTTCTGTAAAAAAATAAGCACATTCGTCATTGGACAAACAGACATCTTGGTTTATGTTGCAGGTGAGGATTTATAGAGTAAGATTTAGACTCTGCACACAGCTGAGAGACTTACGTTCACACGTGGGCAAAGAGGACCATGTCCCGTTTGCACATTTAGCTGTTGCCAAGTTGTTTTTGTGTTCATATCCTTTGTCACATGTGATCCTGATGACGCTTTCCTCCTCGTACCAACCATCTGAGGCATGTGTGTATTTTCCATTGGCAATAGTTGGCGGAAAGCAGCCTTTTTCATCTGAAAGGAAAATGTATTCAATTATCTTTTCAAGGAATCACAAGATATTGTTTAAAGTTCCTGATGAGAAACATTGTGCAGGTCTGATCCACAGCTGGTGGGAGATCTACGGGCTCAAATTAGGATCAAAAAGATTTGAGTTTGTCAAGTGATGTTCACAAGGATGTATTGTGAGTAAAATCTATGAATGAGAAGACGGTGTGACATCACAAGATCATGTGTGAGTAACATGTTTTATCACTTTTGTTTGTCTACTTTCTTTCTATGTCATTTGGGATTTTTTCCCAGGAACCCTAAACTCTAACCCTACATATATTTCATCAACTGAATATGTCAGTCATTTTGCAAAATACTTTATTTATGTTGATTATTGATTACCTTATATACACAAAACTATTTACACATACCTTCCCTGCATGCCCATTGCAGCACTTATTCAGAGGGTTGTGTTTTAACCCCAACCTAACAGTGCAGTACTGTTCAAACCTTGTATACAGATTTGAG